AGTCTGAAGGATCGTCGGAGGATGATGGAGATGAAGAAATGTCAGCTGTGTTGATGCAAGACGCAAAGGCTTTGGGAATCATTCAGAATGCAGTCTCGGATCAAATCTTCCCTCGAATCGCCAATGCCGAGTCAGCGAAGATGGCATGGGATTTGTTGTATGGAGAGTATCATGGTGGTGATCAGGTACGATCTGTGAAATTGCAGAATCTTAGAAGAGAATTTGAATATGCTAGGATGCGAGATGATGAGTCTTTGTCTAGCTATCTTACACGGTTGAATGATCTAATAAATCAGATGAGAACATTTGGTGAATCTTTGTCGAATGAGAGACTAGTGCAGAAGGTCCTGATAAGTCTTAGCAAACCTTATGATTCTATCTGTTTGGTTATAGAAAATACAAAGTGCTTAGAGACTGTGGAATTGCAGGAAGTAGTTGCAATCTTAAAGAGTCAAGAACAACGGTTCGATTTGCATATGGTTGATGCAAATGAGAGAGCATTCTCTTCACTCTCAGTGAATCCAAAGGAGCAGAACAAGAGTGGTGGTCATTCGAGTTCATCTAGAACTCAGAGAAATTGGAATTCTAAAGGCAAGAAATGGGAATCAAAACCCAAATTTCAGCAGAAATCTCCTCTGCACAATTATCAGAGTGCAAATGCACCTCAGTCTGTGGGTCAGGAGGTTGCAAAGCCTCAGTGCAAAGTGTGTTCTAAGTATCACTTTGGTGAGTGTAGATACAAAGGGAAACCAAAGTGTTTCAACTGTGATAAATTTGGGCATTGGGCTAGGGAGTGTAATGTAGGCAGGTCAGTGCAAAAGGCAAATAATGCAAGTCAACTGGAGATGACAGGAAATCTGTTTTATGCAAACAACACTGTCACAGAACCAAAGGTGAATGGAGAGTGGTATGTAGTAGACAGTGGTTGTAGCAATCACATGACAGGAAATGTCGATTTGCTTGTTGAGGTTAGAACCAATGTAGCTGGTAAAGTCCAAATGCCAACTGGAGATCTTGTGAATGTTGCAGGAATGGGATCTTTAGTTATTTATACAAATAAAGGGAGAAAATATGTTAGAGAAGTAATGTATCTTCCCGGGTTAAAGGAGAACTTACTCAGTGTTGGTCAGATGGATGAACATGGATACTTCTTGGTGTTTGGAGGTGGAATGTGCAATGTGTATGATGGTCCATCACTAGAATGCTTGGTTATGAGAGTGAAAAAGAAAGTAAATAGGTGTTATCCACTGACTTTGTTCTCTGAAAATCAAATGGTGCTGAAAGCAAGTGTTACTCACTCCACTGAGATTTGGCACAGGAGATTTGGACATCTACATTTTGGTGGTCTCAAACAATTGAGAGACAAGGAAATGGTACATGGTTTGCCACAGCTTGCAGAGTACAATGGAGTCTGTGAAGGATGCCAATTTGGTAAACAGCACAGAGAAGAATTCCCTAGAAATCAGGTGTATAGAGCAACTGCTCCACTTGAATTGATTCATGTCGATTTGTGTGGACCTATGAAGACTGAGTCACTTGCTGGAAATAAGTATTTCATGCTGCTGATAGATGATTTTACCAGAATGATTTGGGTCTATTTCTTGAGATATAAGTCAGATGCGTTCAACTGTTTTAAGAAATTCAAAGCTATGGCAGAATTACAAAGTGGTTTCAAGATTAAAACATTGAGAAATGACAGAGGAGGGGAGTTCAAGTCTGCAAAATTTGATCAGTTCTGTGAGAAAGAAGGTTTACAAAGACAGCTTACTCTTGCATATACTCCACAACAAAATGGAGTAGTGGAAAGAAAGAACAGAACAGTGATTGAAATGGCGAAATCTATGTTGCATGAGAAGAGGATGCCATACTTTCTCTGGGCAGAAGCTGTGCATACATCTGTGTATATTCTGAATAGATGCCCCACAAAGGCCTTAAACAACATTACACCTTTTGAAGCTTATTCTGGTAGAAAGCCAGGAATAGCTCATCTGAGAGTATTTGGATCTCTGTGTTATGTTCATGTTCCAAGTGAACAGAGACATAAACTGGAACCAAAAAGTCTAAAAGGAGTATTTGTGGGGTATGCAACTTGTGAGAAGGGGTATAGGGTGTTTGATCCATTATCTAAGAAGTTGTTCTTGTCAAGAGACATTGTGTTTGATGAAGAAGCTGTCTGGAATTGGGAAGAGAACTCAGGGTCAACATTTCTTAATACTGGAAGTTTCATGCACAGTGATATAAGCACAGAAAGTAATGACAGAATGGTGTTGTCCCCTACATCACCTATTCTATCTCAGTCTAGAAGAACTCTTAATAGTGAAGACTATGAATCTGAATCAAGGTCACCTATCTTAGGTGAATCTTCAAGCATGTCAAATGCAATTGAAGGACAAAATCAAGCATTTGACAATACACCTTTGAAATGGAGAAATCTGAATGATGTATTGGCTCAATGTAATCTGTGTATCATGGATCCAGAGAAGTATGAGGATGCCAAACAAGATGAGTCTTGGTTAAAAGCTATGGAGGATGAGCTGTTTATGATTGAAAAGAATAGCACCTGGAAGCTTGTTGACAGACCAACTGAAAAGCCTGTCATAGGGGTTAAATGGGTTTACAAAACCAAATTAAACCTTGATGGTTCAGTGTTGAAGAATAAAGCCAGGCTGGTGGCAAAAGGCTATGCACAAAAGCCTGGTTTGGACTACAATGAGACTTATACACCGGTTGCTAGGTTGGATACCATTAGAACCTTAATAGCTTTGGCTGCACAAAAGAGCTGGAAACTGTATCAACTAGATGTGAAATCGGCTTTTTTGAATGGAGTTCTACAAGAAGATGTCTATGTTGAGCAGCCTGAAGGTTTTGTAGTAAAAGGCAAGGAAGAAATGGTGTACAAACTTCATAAGGCCCTCTATGGTCTAAAACAAGCTCCGAGAGCTTGGTATGGAGAGATAGACAGTTATTTCTCACAGTGTGGTTTCAAGAAAAGCTTGAGTGAACCAACACTGTATATAAAAGCAAGGGGAGAGGATATTCTGATTGTCTCTATCTATGTAGACAATATTGTCTACACTGGCAATTGCAAACCAATGCTAGAAGAGTTCAAAGAAGATATGAAAATGAAGTATGAGATGACAGATTTAGGTCTCCTTCACCACTTCCTTGGGATGGGAGTGATACAAACTGATTCCTGCATCTTCATTAATCAGAAGAAGTATGCTAGCTCTTACTGAGCAAATTTGGTTTAAATGAAGCAAAAACTGTCTCAACTCCTTTGGTAGCTACGGAAAAATTGTCTAAAGATGATGGAAGTGGATCTGCAAGTGATGAATTGTATAGGAGCATTGTGGGAAGCCTTCTATATCTCACTGCTACAAGGCCGGATATAATGTATGCAACTAGTTTATTGGCAAGGTACATGCACTGTCCTACCAATAGACACTATGGGACTGCAAAGAGAGTACTCAGATACATCAAGGGAACTCTGGATTATGGCTTGGAGTATGTGAAAGGAAGAAAAATCATGTTTAATTGGCTTCTGTGATAGTGATTGGGGAGGTTCATTGGAAGACAGCAAAAGCACATCAGGATATGCATTCTCCTTTGGCAGTGGTGTGTTCTCTTGGGCTTCTGTCAAACAAAACTGTGTGGCATTGTCCACAGCAGAAGCAGAGTACATAAGCGCATCCGAAGCCACAGCACAAGCAATATGGCTGAGATTTGTCTTGGAAGATTTTGGAGAATTACAAACTGTAGCCACTCCTCTTCACTGTGATAACACATCTGCCATTGCTATCACAAAGAATTCTGTGTTCCATCAAAAGACAAAACACATTGATAGGAGGTATCACTTCATTAAGGATGCACTGCAAGAAGGAATCATTGATTTGATATACTGTCCCACTGAAGAACAGATTGCAGATATCTTCACAAAACTTTTGGCTAAGGATCGGTTCAATTTTCTCAGGGATATGCTTGGTGTGAAATCAGCTCAAAACTTAAAGGGGAGTGTTGAATTATAAGTATTTGAGCTGAAAAGTTTTTTAGAATAAGTTTATGTTTTGAATTGGTGTATTCACTTGTGCAAATGAGGCAAAGTGTAAATGTCTAGTTTTGTAAAAAGGCCATGAGTGCCATGTGTTGAGTGATCCATGAGATTAGAAAGATGTGTGTCTAGGATGAAATGTAGTGTATGTGTGGTCCCAAGTGCTAGGCCATCAGTTATGTAAAAGCATGTGCTTCGTGTTTTTTCATTAACATAGAAAGATATTCCTCTGCAATTTGACAGAGAGTAGAAGAAAACTATTCATCTTCCATTGTGTTCTTCGGTTTGTTTTTGCTCTTAGTTAAGCTTCCTTTCTTAAGTTTAAATCTCTTAAAATTCAGAAACACTAACAGGGAGAGGGAGATTACCACTGTACCGACTCCCCATAGGGAGATTGAAATAGTATAGGTTGGATTTATTTGAAATTTGAAGCACATGGTAAGAATATTTTTGGAAAAAATGTAGGTCAAATTTTCTATTTCTCGTTTTGCTTGATTGTCCATAAATTGAATAACCATATTTCATTAGTTCGAAAAAAAATAATACAATTTCTCATTAAAATTGGAGACAATAGACAATGAGACAATAGGGAAAGGAAAATGCAGCGACATTTTTAGGCATAGAACATGAGTTAAATATGACAAACATTAGAAACAACATAAAGCCTTTTCAGAGCTTAAAAGGTCGCTCAATCCAAATTGGAGGTCGGTTGGTCATTTGCATTAGAGTCGTAATATCTTCTGGGTAAGGTTGCGAAAAGCTTTGATCCTTGACGTTATACACACCAAAATCATGTGATTTCAAGGGTTGGAAAGCTCCTTGACGCATGTAATCATGGTTGAAGTATATGCAGTTAGATTGACATCCTGAATATTTTGAAGCCACCAAAGCTATCGAAGAGTTATCACCAACGAAGAGAGCAACATCACCCAATTCGTCTATTTCAGTCCACTTACTTGTGAGACTTGAGTTCAAAAAGTCTGAATTGAACAGTCACGCGTTTGCCATCTATATCATCCGTACACCTTTCGACCATTAAAAATCTTTTCTCGTTTAAATCCACAAGGTACCTCTTGACTGGCAGTCCATTCCTTTCCGGTTCATCCAATATCAGATTGCACTTGTATTGAGCAGTAATATCAAAAGTGACAAGATTTTGGTTGCGTCGATCAACGCCATAAACTTGATCTTCAACAGGAACAACATCTTCAATTATATGCCGACTATCGTCAACAAAAGTCCATGTTGTGTCTTTGCCGGGTCTAATAAAGGCCATTTGACAATATCCCTCGCATATCACCGCAACAATGTAATTGTCTGCACATAATACAGGGTCTGCTGAAAGTATAGCTTTGTAGGCAAAATAGTAGCTGATAGACGAATCCCAATTCTCCAATGGTGGAACACCGCCGATGAGTGGAGGAAGGCGAATGATGGAATTTTCTTTCTTTCTCGCCCCTTTAACCCTAAAGAATGGATTAACCAGGGTTACTACAGAATCCTTGTCCACATATATCAACCATCCCTTTGAAGAGCCGCAGAATCGCACGTTAGGAACCTGTACGTGAAAATCAAGGACCTTATTCTGCATGACATCGCACAATGACCATGTGCCTCTTTTTGCAGTCTGAATCATCAAGAGCACTGGAGTTGTCACCTTAGCACGCTGATTGTAGTTATCCTTTGCCACAGAATACCACCACTTACAAACAATGCTGAAATGCAAATAATCCTTTGGCGACTCCAATCTCTCTAAGACGGAATCTAAAAGGTGCTTATGCAAAATTTGCCAAACTACTGAAGCCATAGCTTCGACTTTCAAGCACGAATTTGCTTTGTCTCGGTTTTGTTTTTTTTTTTTTTTGTGAGCAAAACCCGTACTCCTCTTGTTTATTTATATACACTAAATTCTTTCCTTCCTGGTAGTGGTAACATCGTAATCCCTCCCTGCAAGAGTAGGAGAAGATGATTTTAAGGACTAGGAAACAATAAATTACCCAAGTCTCTAATAAGTCTCTAATGCTTGTTTCCCAAAACAAATAGATCGGAGTACCAGGATTTCCTATAACATTAAGGAAATTAATTACTCACAAACAAAAGTTTTTTTCCGGCCGCTGCTGGTCACTCACCCATTTTTATATGTGGCCATCCGATTGAACATGTGAAGTGCATACAACGAACTTGATTATGCAAGGCTGTGTAAAAGAGTAAAAATGTATGTATTTATTATTTCCTTGTAAATAATAACCGGTCTTTCATTTTAATATTTTCTTCTCTTTTCATATTCAAAAATCTCTCAATATGGAAAGTTTATTTAAGCAAATTTAATAGAGGAAATTTCAAGCATGAAAAATTCAAATTCGTAGGTTTGCAAAACCTGAACCCTCATTCTTGAAAGCGTCCTGGTGCGAGGAATTTCAACACGAACCCTTCTGGGTTTTTTTTTAAATCAGTTCATGGGCTCTTCTTTGTTTAGGATATTTAGCCTCATAAATTAATCTACCGTTAGATTAGTTCAAGAGCTCCCTTAAGGGGGCGTTTGTTTGGCCTCATTAACTGGGACTGGACTGGACTAGACTGTAGTCCCATGTTTGGTTTGTATTGGAGCTAAGTTAAATGGGACTAAATGGGACTCGCGTGAATTAGAGGCCTTGCTAGGAGTTCTTAGCGAGATCCCCGCAAAACCACGGGATTGTTAAGACCTTCGTCTTCTCTCGTCTGTTCCTGCACTTCGTATCCTCTCTCTCCCTTCCTCTATCTCTTTGCACCGACATCCCAGACTCGGATCAATGTCGGCACCAACATCTAGTCCCTGGGCTTCTAACTTCTTTCTTCTGCGGCCCCGCCACTGTGGCTAGGCAGTCAGCAGTGCTTGCTCTCCCGTGGCCCGATCTGGAGGAACAACATCTCACAGCCGATGTGGCCACACCCACCGCTTAAATATCAAAATTCGACACGGTCCGCCGTCCACGCCCACCGCCGAAATCTCAAAATCTTATCTGTTTTTTTTAGCGTAGAGTTGCAGATGGCGAAAAGAACCACCAAAATCCACCCAGATCTATATCATTTGCCATTAGTTGGGGAAGGAGTAGAGAAATGGATTGAAAAGGGGAGAGAAAGTTGTTATGGGGACGAAGAGAAATAGAGAGATGGAAAAGCAGAAAGAGGGAGATAAAGACCGGACGGAAACAAAGAGGAGAAAGAGAAGTTTCCAGAGCAGGATTTTTTTGGAAAAGCATGGAAAAAAGTAGAATTAATAAAAAAATATTATTAAATATGTATTGAATAATACAATATTGTAGTTTGTTAAGTATCTACTTTTTAGTCCGACATTACATCAAACGCTTCACTAAGTTAGTCTAGCTTAGTCTAGTCTAAGCCAGTCCAACTTAGTCCCTGAAGCTAGTCCAGTCCGAGACAGTCCGGTGCAACAAACGCACCCTAATAGTCCTCAAGATGAACATGTAACATCTTTGATTGAACCAAATGTGAGTATGAGAAATACTCACTTTGGCCCCAAAAGTAAGTATGAGAAGTATTTACTAGTGAGTGTGTAAGTACTATTGTTAAAATTTCTCTCTCGATAAGTATCATTGTTAACATTTTTCTCTCGCTAGCTTGACAAAACCGGGTAAGTAGGAGTTTTTACTAAAAATGAATTACAAGTAAGGTCCTCTTGTAATAAATAGGACACGACTAACACAACGTGAGGCCTCTTGTGAAGAGGTTGGAGGAGCTACGGACAAAAAGAAGACCCAACTTAACCTTCCTACTACTTTGCCGCTGCAACCATGGTCGCTGAGATCCGAAGTTTTGATGAAGATATGACTGCAACTGTGGCAAACAAACTTCCCTTCATAGTCCTTCTTGTGAAGCTTTTTGGCATGAGTGACCACGCCACCTTCTTTATCAAATTGTTTCCCACAGTTAAAGCAGACGAATTTGGGGAAATCCTCATGGACAAGGCAATTGTGTTTGGCCAAATCATCTTTGCTGGAAAACACAAGACCACAAGCGCTGCACTCCGTCATCTGCAAGGTTAAAAAGAAAAAGGGTTTTTAAACATTAGTCCTTGCAAAAGATTAAAATTTAAAAAAAAAACCTGGTGCTAGTTACATATTCAATTTAATCCCTTAAAGTGTACTTTTATCAAAATTTATATTCAATTTTTGTTATTTAATGTGTATTTTTATTTAATCTCTCCACATTAAATTTTAATTTTATTAATATGCATATTTAGTTCTTTAATTATAAATGAACATAAATGAGAAAATATTAAAAGAAATTTGTGATACAAAATATATAAATACATGATTGTACTGTGCCGAAATATATATAATTGACTTTTTTGTACCTACATGATTGTACCGAAATATATTATAATGAACCTAAATGTATGTACCGAAATGTATTATATTGAATTAATGTACCTAAATATCAATACCGAAATGTATGTACCGACGTACAGAAATGTATGTACCGACGTACCGAAATGTATGTACCGACGTACCGAAATGTACGTACCGAAATATACGTACCGAAATGTACGTACCGAAATATATATACCGAAATGTACGTACTGAAATGTATTATATTGAATTAATGTACCTAAATGTCAATACCGAAATGTACATATCAAAATATACGTACCGAAATGTATGTAACGAAATATATGTACCGAAATGTATGTACCGAAATGTACGTACCGAAATATACGTACCGAAATGTATTATATTGAATTAATGTATCTAAATGTCAATACCGAAAAGTATGTACCTAAATGTATGTATTGAAATATAGTATATTGAATTAATGTACCTAAAAGTCAATACTCAAATGAGATGTATTAGGTTCGAATCTCGTGGATTGCGAATTCGATACCAAATTAAGTTGTCTATTGTGTGGCTTAACCGAACCCCCATCGCCTTAGTGTAAAATATATCGTTGTACTTAAAAAAAAAAATAAATAAAACTCAAATGTATGTACCGAAATGCATGTATATGTTTGTATCGATGAATTAATGTACCTATATGTTTGTATTGATGGATTTACCGAAACATTCAAATATATTAATGTACCTAAATGAAGAACATACAAAATTGTTATCTGACTATATATTATAAAAAAAATTAGTTGCCTAAATGTAGACATTAAAATATTATGATAAATGAAATGAAAATTAAATTTAAATGTAATTAATACATTAAAATAGGAATAAAAAGATAAATAAAACATCAAAATATAACTAATAACTGAGATGATTAAATGTACTAGGGACTAAAATTGGATTTTAATTTTACACAAGATTATAGTGTAAAACTCATCTTTTTTAAGAATTAAAATGAAGTTTTCTAAAAAGAAAAATATCAGAAAAGAAAAACAAAATAAGATGCATCATAGAAAGTGGGAAAAGAAAAGAAATGCATATCATATAAGCAAAAAACCTTCCACTTTTGGAGTTTCTACTGCAATAAAAAGCAACTAGGTTTTTGAAGTTTTGAATTGCCTTGCCTATTATATGGCAAGACATGCAAGTAATGAAATCAGCCAACAGCTAATGAATACGGTCACTCTCCATCTATTAAATTTCTTCACCTAAGTTTTCTTTTCTCTCTCTTTTTCCAGTCACTCTCCATCTATTAAATTTCTTCACCTAAGCTTTCTTTTCTCTCTCTTTTTCCTCCCACCAGCGAATTGTTTGAGCTTGAAATTTCAAAATATAAATCACTGCAATTATTTGAGCCTGAACTTGCCAGATCTGTAAATGTACTACTTGTGCCTGCCTAAAATATGAATTAGGTTATGTCGCATAAATCTGTGTAAAGTAGTGCTTTTTTATTTCAGTGTGTTCATGCATCAATGGTTTTAGTCTACTATCTGCAAGCTCATGAATGTGTTATGTATATTGCATGTCTCTATTGATGAACGCATGAGCCCAAATATATGCATATGGATGGTCCTGATGACTGTTCTTCTCTGTGCTGCTTGGATCCCTACCCCCAAACTTCAATGTAATTATATTTTCAATGAAGTGTGAGAGAGTGAGAGAGTGAAAGGGGTCCATTAGCATAGAGGTCTTCTCAGCTCCCCACTGTGAGTATCCCTGGACCTCATCCTGTGCTCATTCTGTATTATGTGCTTGCATTTGTGTTGAATTTGACTACCATGAATATTCTTATGAATGTGATGATGAATTTTGTTGTGATGAATGGATGGTTGAATGCATACTAAGATGAATGGATGAATGTATGAATCCACAAGTAGTTGAGATTAGATCAAATTAGTTCCGAATGCAGCCTGCAATCACAAATCAAAAACCTAATTAGATAAGTAAAGAAGAATAACAAGAATTAAAAATTGCAATATTTTTTTTTCAATTTTCTGATTTTGTGTTGTTGTGATTTTTGTAGTTAGGAATAAAAACAGGAAAATAAAATAATAAACGAAATAAAAAGAAAAGAGTTAGAAAAATTGGGTTGTCTCCCAATTAGCGTTTTAGTTAACGTCTATAGCTAGACGGATTTGAAAGAAACCGGTGATCACATTACTTGTCATTTTAGAATCAACCACTCTTTTGCAGCATCATAAGGCAATGGTAGGTAAGGATTGTCTTGAACTGTGCATTTAAATTCATTGGTTGAATCTTTCTTGTAACTCCGCCTATGTAAGTTTATCTTACATTGCCGGTCCCAAGCCCGGGTAAAGGAGGAGGGGGAGGGCGTCAGGTAGTCGACAGCCGGCACTCCACAGTTACGTCGAATCCTTATGAAAATGAATTCAGAACGAAATCGCGCTAAAGCTAGGGC